ACATAGTTGCTTAGAGTTGCAGCTGAGAGGCCGGCAAGTGAGGTGGGGAACGTTGGAGTCTGCAGTCACTGGAGCAAGCAAGCCTCCCTGTTCGCTTCAGTGCATGGCTGCCGGCCGCCATCTTGGCTGAAAGTTAATTTGCATAAGGATATGCTGATTAGCCAATGGGAAGGGTAGCGGTCGTACGCTAATTACCATGTTTCTCTTTTATCAGTGTAGATTCTTTCTGTTTAGGTCTCTTCAAAGTATGAGTATCTTCTTCACCATTGGCAACTGTTATTTATTTATTTAAAAATCACATTCCTCCAATATTCATTTTGATACCTGCTTTTTCTCCTCAAAGGCACTTAATGTCCAAACTTACGAAAGTCCAGCCAGGGTAGTGATGGTTGCACCAGCTCGTGGTCGCTGAAGCCTGGTTCCAAGACCATATTTGTCCTAAACAGAGTTCAGAAATTCCTATTAGAAGTTCCACCTTTAAACATCCTATTTATCAAAAGAAAGAATTTTGGGTGGGACAGCATGAGAAGCTCAGGGAAATAAGCAAAAAAACAAGCAAACAAAAACAAATTTGAAAGCTTCTTTTAAAGAGAGAAATTTGTAGCCCCCACATCATCTTATCCTATATAATAAAAAGCGAATATGCAAATTGACCAAATGGTAGAATGACCAGTCACTATGATGTGCACTGAGCACCAGGAGGCAGATGCTCAACGCAGGAGCTGCCCCCTGGTGGTCAGTGCGCTCCCACAGGGGGAGCACCGCTCAGCCAGAAGCTGGGCTCATGGCTGGCGAGTGCAGTGGCAGTGGCAGGAGCCTCTCCCACCTCCATGGCAGCGCTAAGGATGTCTGTCAGTCGGACATCCCCTGAGGGCTCCTGGACTGCGAGAGGGCGCAGGCCGGGCTGAGGGGACCCCCCATCCCGAGTGCACAAATTTCGTGCACTGAGCCTCTAGTTCTTAAAATAGTAATTAAAGTACCAACATGAAGACTGAAAATACATTAACATAGTAAACTGAACAAAATGGGATTTTTTTTTAAACTAGTAATCTAAATATCTAAGCTATGGTTTAGACCAGAGCTATGTGGAGTGTCTAAGACACATGATGAATGTCTTCTTGGAACACCAGTGATCATCTGCTAACTTCCTCAGGGCTAGCAAGAATTATAAAAGAGAACTTACCACTACATGAATAGTGTGTTGCTGTAGGCCCCAAAATAGCAGCAGGTTGCAACAGAGACAAAAAAAAAAATGCAGCATAAGATAGAAGCAAGCTCATATAGCTGGCAGGTTATATGGGAAAGTTGAAAGAATTATGCATTTAATTCAAATCCCTCTCCTAAATAGACTGGTCCATATGCTGTTTGTACCACTGGACTATGCAGAAAAACTCATTAAGATTTCATTAAGTCTTTGGTAAATGTCTTATGAGTTTTTTTTATTTTTATCTATCTATCTATTTTTATTTTTTTTTTTAGATAGAGAGAAAGGGAGAGGGAGAGATAGAAACATTGATGAGAGAGGAACATCATCAATCAGCTGCCTCTTGCACGGCTCCTACTAGAGATTGAGCCTGCAACTGAGGTACATGCCCTTGACTGGAATCGAACCTGGGACCCTTTAGTCTGCAGGCCAATGCTCTATCTGCTGAGCCAAACCAGCTAGAACTGCCTTGTGAGTTTTAATGCTTTATTAAATTCTAGATATTTTTATATAGACCTTACCAATTTGTAGGGTTTCGATAGTTTAATTCTCATGCAGAAGCAGTATGACAAGTTATTTAACCTATACAGATCACATTTCCTCAACTGTAAATGAGAATATACCATCTATTCCACAAGATTATTATGACGATTAAATAAAATAAATATGTGTAAAGTGCCTAGCACAGTGCTTGACACATCATTCATTGCCATTCAACAAATGGTATTTATTAAATGCCAACCTGCGTAGCTCAAGCAAACACACAGAAAACAAATTGTTCTGTGATAGCAAATAAAACTTGGGGACAATAATAAAAGCTCCAAATCTTAATCTCTTTCTTCTGATGGGTAGCATGCAAACTAGTAAAGAATGACTTCCATAAATACTTCCTATCAAAAATTACACTTGCATATATTACTATCTATTTAGCCACACAAGTACACTGTGTAAAACTCAGTGTTTTTTTATACTGGAGAAATATGGGAAGGTGCCCCCCAAATTACAACTAGAGCCAGAAAACCACCACTACGAGGATGTCAAAGGTGGGCTATGTGAGAATATGAATAAAATCTACCACTTCCGAGTTTCTGTAATATTCCAAAGTTGTTACAGTTTTGTGGTTCCTATAAAATTAAACACTAGCCTCTTTGGAGAATAATCAGAAGAGAAAGGGGAGTGATGGAGAAACACAAATGTCCTTAAAACTCGGAGAACTAATGATGTGGTAAAAGCATAACCTTTCTGTTACCCATCCTTCAGGAATCTAGGGGACAATGGCCACTTTCTGAAAGAGTCACAGTTCTCATGTCACAGAGGTCTTGACCAATGAACTGCAAACTCCTTTTTGTGCCAAGTGCTCACCGAAAAAGCCAAAGGCATATAGTTTCTACGCCGTGCCAGTTTCTTGCGATCTCGTTCAACCTTCTCCTTCTGAGCAAGCTGCTGATAATATTCAATCAGTTTGTTCATCTGTAACAAATCAAAGACTCAGTATTTTGTTTCATGAAAAAGCTAACAGGAAACATACGAAATTAATCAACTACACTAGCTAGACACATAATAAACAGAGAAAACAAATTAGTAAGGTGGCAGGTTTGCCCTTTTCTTCAAAGAGAATTTATCTTCTTTACATGATCCATTTCGGAATTGAAATGGAACCCTCAAGGTGAACAACGGGAAGAAATGGGCAATGAAAAGGCTTGGAAATGTCATCCTCTCTCTTCACTGTTCTTTTACTTCATTACTTACTTCCTCTCACAAATGCTCCTATTTTTTCTGCATGCCCACAGGACCATCTATTTCTAAGAATGTGACATTTCATATTCTATATTCTCCTCCACTGCATCCCACATTTTCATTTTTAAAATATATTTTAATAATAAAAACAATGCTATGTTAACTGGGAAAAATTTAAACAATGTATAAACAAAAAATAAGTGAAGCTTCTCTTTTATCTCTTGTGCCCAAACCTACCCTGCCCTCACCAAAGGTATCCATTATTAGAGTTTAGATAGCTTTCTTACACATTTACAGGCACAGGTATGACATTAAAAAAGCTCATGTGTAGACATACAGCATTTATATGTATAAAATAAATACAGGTCTTTTTATTTTTCATATAAGAAAAAAACTTAAAACGTTCTTTTCCACTGAAAGTATCATAAACTTCCTATCCAGTACAAATACATCTGCCTCATTCTTTTTAAAAAGCTGCACCTTATTACACAGGACAGATGTTTTATTAGGTATTTAACCATTTCCTATGACAGGACTTAACGGTGTCCTGGTACCCACACTTGTCCTCTCACTGCAGTAGCAATTATGTTTTAGAAACACTACTCTGATCCTGGCAAGTTTTAGCTTAAAACCTTCAAAGGCTTTTCAGACTCCTTACCTCGGTCTACATGGTCTGACAGCAAGTACTTCTCTCCAGTAGCTCGATGCTAAGCTCCACTCATCGCACTCACCTTGTCTACAACCTGCTTTGCTTCTTCCACTTATAAGCTCCTTGCATATGCTGTTCCTGTCTTCAATTCTTTCCCTTCTGTGCTTGCTGTCCTCAAATCTTAGAAACATCCTCAGATATCGACCTAACTAGTTGAAATTCCCCCTAATAAATGTCCACATGGCACAATTTCTCTTCTTCATGTTAGTCTTTCCTGTACCTGAGGATTATTTGATTAATTTTGTTTTCCCATTAGACTTAAGCTCTATGAGGGTAGAAACCATGTATCCTTATTGTTCAGGACAGTACCTGGCACACAGTAAGTGCTCGATAAATGTGTGATGAATGAATATATATTTTTGTGCATAAGTGTAAGTACTTCTATAGGTCAGAGTCCAGAAAGTAGATACTGCTGAGAGCTCAAGAAATTTGTACTAATTTACACTTACAACAGTATATATAAAAAGGTCCAATTCCCCACACCATCATCCAGGATATTTTCAATATTTCTAATTTTTGCTAATGTCATAAGTGGATAATTATAAATTGTATTTAATCTGCAGTTTGTACATACTTCATTTCAATAGTATTTCATTATCTTTTTCACATTCTAGTTCCAGGGGCAAAAAAAATCAGCTCTAATGTATACTATAGAGATCAATTCTGTATGAACTGTTAAAGGATGCTCCAGTCATGATTCTATAAACAACCACTATTGAGTCAAAGGGCATCTTCTAAATTTGTGGTGTTTCCAGGAACTAAGATGTCTATATGTTGATGATACTTCCAAGAGTATTTGAGAACAAATGGAAACTCAACTTAGTTGGTGGGTTATGTGAAAAACAAAAGCATATTGTTTCCTTTGTCCAATTCACACTCGAGTACAGAACTAAAACTATACCTAAGTTTTTCTATTAACTTAATGGGGAAAACTGCCATTGTGATTTAATATCTTATAATGAGAAGCACTTTCTATGTGTAATAGACACCAAAATACATGTCATGGGCTTCTAAGCACAGGCTATATCCACTGGTAAAATGGAAGATACTGAGTCTTTCTCTCCATCTTTCCTTATTTCATCCTCTCTCTAATGACCCTTTACTTACCCGTTGAGTGTGAGGATTTTCAGGTTCCTGCCAACCACCACTAGCTGCAAAATAAAGGAACATTAAGAAGAATTTTATAATTTTATTTTCACAAAAATAGGTCATTCTGCAGGCCACAAAATAAAACTTAAAAAACATAAAATCACAGAACTTCCAAAAATGAGTCCTAGAAATGATATAGACCAGAATGCTCAGAATAAAATTTTTTCTTTAAATATAATAATGGTGATAATGACCACCACCACAGCTAACATATGTATAGCCAGGCACATTTTATTCTCCTAATAATGTTGTGAAGTGGGGACTCTTATTATTAGCCTTATTTTACAAATGAGAAAATTGAGGCTCCGAAAGTTATATAACTTGCCCAAAGTCACAAAGATAGTAAGTGGTAAAGTGAGGATTCAAAGTCTGACTCCAGAGACCCTGCTCTTATCTGCAACACTGCAATTTCTGTTTTATGGCCCTGGTTTGGAAAAAAATTTCTTATATAAGAAACAAACTGCACAGACCATAAAGGAAAAGATTATTCCAGAAAGCTAAAAGTAAAATCATAATGAATACTTTCAACAAATGGTGCTGCAACAACTGGATACCCATCTACAAAAAAATGAACCTTTACCTTACCTCACAACACATACAAAACTTACTCTGAAATGGACAATAGACTTACATGTAAGAGCTAAAACTATAATCTTTATAGAAGAAAACATCAGTGAAAATCTTAGTGACCTTGGGTTAGCCTAAGTTTCTTCACTAGGATACAAAAGGCACAAACTATAAAATAAATTGATAAATTGGACCTCATCAAAATTAGAAAATTGTGTTCTTCAAAAGATACTGGTAAGAAAATAAAAAGGCAAGCCACAGACTGAGGGGAAATATTTGCAAAACATATACTGAACAAAGGACTTGTACCCAGAATACACAACTGTTACAACTCAATAAAAAGACAAAAATTCCATTAAAAAATAGGCAAAAGATTTGTACAATCATTTCACCAAAGAAAATATATGGATGGCAAAAAAGCACATTAAGACAATGCAAAGTAAAACCACAATGAGATATCACTACACACTCACTGGAATGGCTAAAATGAAAAAGACTGACAATATTGAAAGGCTGTTGAGGAACTGGAATTCTCCTTACATTGCTGGTGAGGATCCACATGGTATAGCCACTCTGGAAAATAGTTTGGCAGTTTCTAGTCATTAAATGTACACTCCCCCTACAATCCAGCAATTCCACTCCTAAGTATTTATGCAAGAAATATGAAAACATATCCACACTAAGACTTGTAGGCAAATGTTCATAGCAGCTTTATTTATAAGACAAAAACTAGAAAAAAATCCAAATGTCCATCAACTAGAAGTTGAATAAACAAACTGGTATAACCATACAACAAATATACTAGTCATCAATAAAAAGCAAAAATATGGGTGAACCTCAAAAGCATTATGTTAATGAAAGAAGACAGACACAAAAGACTATGTACTACAAGACTCCAATTATATAAACCTCCAGAATAGGCAAAATTACAGTGGTAGGAAGCCTATCAAGGGGGCGGGAGCCAGGAGGTCAGGGCAAGAAACTGACAGCAAAGGGGCATGCGGAAACTTTTTTGGGTGATGGAATTTTTCTGTTACATGATTGTGGTGGTGGCTATATGAGTATACACATTTGTCAAAAAATCACAGAAGTCTACACTTAAAATTGGTGAGCTTCATTATACATGTTATATCTTAATAAAGCTAATTTTAAAAAGTGAAAAAATAAACTACAATGAGATACCATTTCACAGCCATCCTTTCGGAAAAACAATACTAAGAAGTGCCAAGGGCCCTGGACCGTGTAGCTCAGCGTTAGAGCGTCAGCCTGCACACCAAAGGGTCGTGGGTTCAATTCCTGGTAAAGGGCACATACCTGGGTGATACCTGGCCCAGTGAGAGCATGTGCAGGAGGCAACCAACTTATGTATCTCTCTCACATGGATGTTTCTGTTTCCCTCTCTCTTCCTCTCTCTCCCGCTGTCTCTCTCTTTCCCCCACTCTCTCTCTCTTCCTCCCTCCTCCTTCCCTCCCCTCCACACTCTCTAAAAATCAATGGTATCCTCAGGTGAGGATTAAAAAAAAAAGCAACACAAATAAAAACTGTCGCAGTGGTTCTCAACCTTCCTAATGTCGCAACCCTTTAATACAGTTCCTCATGTTGTGGTGACCCCCAACCATAAAATTATTTTCGTTGCTACTTCATAACTGTAATTTTGCTACTGTTATGAATCGTAATGTAAATATCTGATATGCAGGATGTATTTTCATTGTTCGAGACCCACAGGTTGAGAACCGCTGATTCTAGTGCAAAGGCTAGTCTACTTTTATACATTACTAGGTGGAGGAAAAACTGGTAAACCATTTTAGAGAGCTAAAGATGTACACAACTTAAAAACAGCAGTTTTATTTATTTATTTATTTTTAAATACTTTTTATTTATTTTTATTGATTTCAGAGAGAAAAGGAGAGGGAGGAATGAGGGAGGGATGGAGGGAAAAAGAAAGAGAGAAATATCAATGATGAGAGAGAATCATTGGGCTGCCTCCTGCACGCCCCCCAATGGGGATGGAGCTCACAACCTGGGCACGTGCCCTGACCAGGAATCGAACTGTGACCTCCTGGAGCAGTTTAGTTATGCAGAGAAATCCTTACTCTTATTACTTAAGAAATACACACAGGAATTTTTCTAACAGTACTTCTGTCGAAAGGAAAAAATTGACAACAACCTAAATGTCCATTAGGAAGAAACTGAGTAAGTAAACTGTGGTAAGTCATGCATGAAATCAAACTACTATTATAAATATAATATCGATAGAGAAAAGTTGTAGCAGGATACATATAGATTTCCATTTGTTTCACACTGATAAACATGATTTGCTAGTGGCCACATATATATGTGGAGAAGTATAAAGACAGGCATGGACACCGATACACACCGACTTCAGGATCGTGATGACTACCTCTCTCTAAGAGGCAGGGGAAGGGGGGGTGTGGTGGGGGGAGGCAACACAAGTTGTTTAAACCGTTTTGGTTATTTATTTTGTTAAGCTGGGGGATAAATATATGAATGTGCATTATTTGTATAAGTTAAAATAACTCTTTTCAAAACAAAAAGGAATCTTGCTGAAGATGTCACTGTGCTCCCTTGCAAGAAATGGCAGCAATAATAGCCTTTAGTACATTATTCATAATTTAAAGGTTGCCTACTTAAGGCAATCGTGAAAAAGAATTATTTAAAAGAAATGTTTTAGATGTAGTATTTTTAAAAGTCTAAATGTTCTACCTAATTGCTTCTTTAGAACTGGTAATTTATTCTAAACAGCAATTTGGGAGACATAACAATGTCATTATGAGTTTTTCTCTGCACATTACTGACACAATGGCTTACTTACAAACCAAACAGTTCCAACTAAAGTGGTTTCAGAGCTCCTCAGACACCAATGACAACATGGAAAAATGAAATTATCTGTACTCTTTTAAGAGCTCCAAGAGCTCAATTATCACTGTCAAGATACCCTAGAAGAGAGAGAGATTTCCAGAAGCAAACACAGGTTTTAAGTTCTGAAAAAAAAATTCTCTAATCTTAATGACTCACAATCTAAAAAGCATAAACATTCACTTACAAAGGAACAAACTGTAAAATCTACTTGGATTTGTGGACTTTGTTTAATTTGCTAAAAAGAGACAGAATACAAACACAGAAAAATACTTTTAACTCACTGAGGCATATATTATGCCACTTTGAGGTTTGTTTGTTTGTTTAACATTTAACTCATAAACAAATTCAAACAACTTGCTTGCTACATTGAAATTAAAACATATATACACAAATACTGACTCAAAGTCTAAAGAGATGCTATGGAATCAACCATACTAATAAAAGGGTAATATACTAATTAGACCAGGAGACCTTCCAGATGTCCTTCCGGACAAAGCCATGGTGGCAGGGCCGAGGCAGAGGCGGTTAGGGACGGCAGGGGAGGGCATTTGGGTGCAAGCAGGCTGGTGGGGCCGGCAAGGGAGAGTGGTTAAGGGTGATCAGGCCGGCAGGGGAGAGTGGTTAGGGGTGATCAGGCAGGCAGGGGAGCAGTTAGGGGCCAATCAGGCTGTCCAGGGAGAGCAGTTAGGGGTGATCAGGCCGGCAAGGGAGAGTGGTTAAGGGTGATCAGGCCGGCAGGGGAGGGGGGGGAGTTGGGGGCAATCAGTCGGTAGGGGTGGGCAATTGGGGTTGATCAGGCTGGCAGCAGAGTGGTTAAGGGAGATCAGGCACACAGGCAGGTGAGGGGTTGGGAGCCAGTGGTCCCAGATTGCGAGAGACATCCCCCGAGGGGTCCCAGATTGGAGAGGGTACAGGCCGGGCTGAGGGACACCATTCTGTGCACGGATTTTGTGCACTGGGCCACTAGTCTATAACAAAAACATAATATGCTAATTAGACTGAGCAGCTGAACAACCTTCCAGACATCCTTCCAGATGAAGCTGGGGCTGCGAGGGCCAAGCCCCTTGCACGAATTTCATGCATCAGGCCTCTAGTTCTAATGTAAATCACATTTCAGGAAATATCTACCCTCGAGCATTTTTAAGGAACTAAGATATACTTGTTTAGTTAACATTTTTTGTTTTTGTAGAATATTTTATCAACTTAATGTACAATGTAAAAAAACCAAGAGCTCAAGCATTCTAAACCAAGAGGTGAAATAAACAAATTCAAAGATTAAATTTTTAAGAACAGAGTTGAATCTAAAGAGATGTCACCCATATTTACTTCCAAATTGTGTAGGAATTGTCCACCTTCATTTTAGTTATGTCAAATGACATAATGAACTTGTTATGAGCTTTTTCATATGTTAGTAAGCTAAAATCTTTAATGAAAATTCAAAATTGGGAATTTTTAACAAGTCTAAAAAGTTTTCAGATAATTAAATGAAATTACAGAAAGAGACAATGGAGAGATAGAAATGCTACTGTTTACATGAAAATTAAATAGCAACTCAAGATTTTGAACTGACTGTTTAAAGAGTGCTACTACTTTCTGATGTTAACCAGGAAGTATAGAAAATGTAAAAATAAAGGAAGTTTCCTAATATAGATAATTGCAACCTCCACTCTGAAATGCTCAAATGATGGACTGGTATATAATTAATACTGTAGGTAGTTTTAAGTCCATATACACATAATTTTTGTTTCACTGATAAACGTGTGTGTGTGTGTGTGTGTGTGTGTGTGTGTGTGTGTGTATAGACATGTATACATAGACGTATCTTTGAGCAAATGTTTGAATGCTCCAGTATAGAAACTTGGGACATGGAATTGCTGGGCAGGAGAAAAAAGCATTTTAAAATTGTAGCCCAGCTGGTGTTGCTCAGTGGTTGAGTGTGGACCCATGAACCAAAAGGTCCCCGGTTCAATTCCTAATTCCCATTGAGGGCACATGCCCAGGTTGCAGGCTTAATCCCCAGTAGGGGGCATGTAGGAGATAGCCTACTGATGATGGCTCTCTCATTGATGTTTTCTCTATCCCTCTCCCATCCTCTCTCTAAAAACAATAAAAAATAAAACTTTAATAGATGTTGTTAAACTGCTTTTCAAGGTGGTAGTGTATAAAAGAACTATTTTCCCATATTCTTGCCAACACCTGATTATCAGATATAACATATTTTATCAAATCAATGACATTTTAATTTGGATTTCCCTGACTACTAGTGAAGTTGAACATATCTTTCTACATATTTATTGACTTTTAAAAAATATATTGCCTCGCCCTAACCGGTCTGGCTCAGTGGATAGAGTGTCGGCCTGCGGACTGAAAGGTCCCAGATTCGATTCCGGTCAAGGGCATGTACTGTGGTTGCGGGCACATCCCCAGTAGGGGGTGTGCAGGAGGCAGCTGATCAATGTTTCTCTCTCATCGATGTTTCTAACTCTCTATCCCTCTCCCTTCCTCTCTGTACAAAATCAATAAAATATATTTTAAAAAATATATATATATTGCCTCAACAGTTGTGAAAACAAAAATCCAACTAACTAGATAATAAAAACTAAATGAAGAATTCATACATTCAATACAGGGTCTTTGTTCCCAGAGAACTCATATTAGAGTTGAAAACACTTGAAAAATTCACATATAAACAATATTAATAGTACAAGATATTTAATTGATATCCAAAGAAAGAGATAAAAAGAAAGGTCTATAAAATTTTAGAGGAAGGAAACATGCAAGGGTAGAATGTGAGTTATGACTTCAAAAAAGGTTAGAGTCTTGCCCCACCAATAAACCAGGAGGTCATGGTTCAATTCCTGGTCAGGGCACATACCTAGGTTGTGGGTTTGGTCCAAAGTTGGGGCATGTATGAGAGGCTCTCTCATACTCTCTCTTCCTCTCTCTAAAAATAAATGAGCATGTCCTCGGGTGAGGATTGGAAAAAAAGAGTGTAGGGCAAAGACATATCATTTTAATCCTACTATGGCCCCTTCAGTATGTATATTTTGGTTACTGATCATTTTTATTTCCACTGTGAGACCTGCTGTTCATATCTGTTGCCTACTTTTCTATTAAGTCTCTTTCTTATTGACTTATAAGTATTCCTCATTTTTGGTTATTTATCTTTAGTCTGTTGTATATGATCCAAATACTTTTCTTAATTTGTCACTTTTATGTTTAATTTTGCTTATGGTGTGTTTTGTCATCAGGAGCTTTTATTTCTTATGAAGAGCATCAATATTTTGACTCTAAGAAAGTGTCAGATTTATAAAAGCTATTTGACAAACTCTAAGAAAACTAAATAGCCCTGGCCAGTTTGCTCAGTTGTTAGTGTCTGTCTGTGAACCTAAGGGTCTCGGGTTCAATTCCCGGTCAAAGGCACATATCTGGGTTGCAGGTTTGATCCCTGTGCCCTGATGAGGGCACATGCAAGAAGCAACCAATCAATGTGTCTCTCTCACATCGATGTTTCTCTCTTTCTCTCCCCGACCCCCTCTAAAAATATCAATGGAAAAAAATATCCTTGGGTGAGAATGAACAACAAAAACCCAAAACTAGTTAACATAGTCTGTGGGCAATTACAGCACTGCTAATTTCACAAAATCTCATGTTGAAGTCTACCTCACTCACCCACAGATTTGTCTGCCATGCCCACATCTCTAGATGTCCAGCGACAAAACCCACAGGCCAGGTAATAGGCTTTCTTCATGGTGGTCTTGGCTGGGTCATCGGGAAGCTGTGTGGAGATGCTTGTGGCCCGGGTGGAGAGGGTGTGCATGCAGCCGGGACAGTCAAAGCAGTTGGCGCATCTATGATACAAAAAATACAACAATTCATTCACTCCACAAATGTTACCAAGCACCTACCAATACCAGACCTTGTTCCAGGTGTTAGGAATTCAAGAGAGAACTGTAAGGGAGGATTGTCTCACGCAAAAAGAAATAATCAAGTACTCCTGAGACTCTTACAAACTTTGTTTTAAAATTTCAAAAGTATTATATGTTCATTATTAAAAAAATAAAAAGCAAAATAAATAAAAAAATAAAAAGCAATCATCACAAAAGTTCTTGAAAAATTAGAGCCTGACCCAATCCTACTCCACAGAGACAATCAGTGTTAATAGTCTGGAGTTAACTATTTCCAGCCTCGTTTCATGCTTGTACAGACCACAAAGAATTCTGAGGAAAACAGAAATGTCAGAGCTTATGCCTTTAGAGAGAACAGCCCAATTGCACAATGGAAAACTGAGAAGCAACAATACAACGATCGGGAAATTGGTTTGGAAAATAACTTCTTGTTTGCTGTGCCAGAGAGCTGAAACGGATACCACACAATGCGACCAAACTGGAATGGTTCTGAAGTGCTGCATGTTCAGGCTTCCTGGCACTATTCTCCTAGTGCTCAGCCAACATTTCCCCTTCAGGGCCCCTGTACCTTGTTGCTTTTATGTTTTCCACAACCAGAGATTATCAAGATTTCACCACATCCTAGACTTGGTCTGAAGTTCCATGTCAAAACTCCAATTAGCTCTGATATTTTGCCATCTGGATAATATCCTCAAATAAAGATAATAGTATCCACTTCACAGGGATATTTTGAGGATTAAATGTTAAAACTAATGTGTGGACAGCATAAAAACTGTCTGGTTTATCAGAAGGTATTTCTCAGAGACAAGGAAGACAAATAATAGTGGTTCACAACCATGGAGGCATATGCATGTGAGTGGTGACAATGGACTTTCACATCAAGCAAAAAACCAGATCTTGGTTTTTGTTGTGTGTGTTTTTTTTTTAAATATGTTTTTACTAATTTTTAGAGAGAGAGAAAGGGAGAGGGATAGATAGAAACATCAATGAATGAGAGAGAAACATCATTGATCAGCTGCCTCTTGCACACCCCCTACTAATTGAGCCCACAACCTGGGCATGTGCCCTGACCGGGAATGGAACTGGTGACCTCTCTGTTCCTGGGTCAATGCTCAACCGCTAAGCCACACTAGCCGGGCCAGATCTTGGTTTTTAATTCCATTCTCCAATAAAAGGATCCAGGGTTCCTTGGAGAAATGGCTAATTCTAGGAGTGAGGCAGAAAGTACACATGATGAGCCTAGAGTATTTTGTAGTACCAGAAAGTAAGAAAGTGCTCTAATGAATGAACAAACACCCCCCCACACACACAAACAATGATTGGGGTTAAGTTAAAGGGATACAGTAGTCTACTGAAAAGTTACCAACAGCCAAAGGTAGAAAATTTGAGCAAAAAAAAGTAGTATTGGATTACAACCTAAGGTGTAAAATAAATATCCAGGAGCCCGTCTGCTTTAAGTAAATGATTACTTAAATAAGTGGGGAAGAAGAGAAATATCTTCCATGCGAAAGAATTCCAAATAATTTATGTAGACAACCCTCACAGAGGGGGAGCATAACTTCCTACTATTTAAGTGTGGGCTGTGATAGTTTTCCTTCTAAAGAGTACAGCATGTTAAGCAATAAAACAATAAAATAAAATAAAATAAAAAAATAAAGAGTACAAAATGGAAAAGGAGGTTGATAGTCATATTGAAAGTATGTTTCCTTGATATGCTGAGAGATACACTTTACCTCAGTGATCCTCCTCCCCAAAAATACATTCCCCTTCAGTGGTTCACAAACTGCGGCTCGGCTCGGCTCGGCAAACTGCGGCTCACGAGCCACATGTGGCTCTTTGGCCCCTTGAGTGTGGCTCTTCCGCAAAATACCAACTTCTTCGCATGGGCACGAAGTTTCAATCGCACTGTGCCTGTGCGCCCGCACGTGGTATTTTGTAGAAGAGCCGCACTCAAGGAGCCAAAGAGCCGCATGTGGGACCACGGCCCTAGTTGATGAGAAAAACAGACACATTCCAACTGAGGGACATTCTACAATATATCTGACCACTATTCAAAACTTTTAAGGTCATCAAAACCAAGGAAAGTCTAAGAGGATGTCACAACAATGGGAGCCAAAGGAGACATAACTATTAAACATAACATGGATATCCTAAATAGGATCCTGGAACAGAAAAAGGAGATTATGAAAAAAACTAAACAAATCTGAATAAAATGTGGAGTTTATTTAACAATAATGTACCAGTATTGTTCAGTAATTGAGACAAATACACCATTCTAATGTAAGATGTTAACAGCAGGGGACACTGGGTACGGGATAAAAGGGAAATCTCTGTATCATCTTCACAATAATTCTTAAGTCTAAAACTGTTCTAAAATGGAAAGTTTATTTAAAGGCTAGTTTATCTTTGGCAAAGGTGATGCAAAAAAATGAAAAGAGCTAGTTAAGAAAGAGTTAGTTCCATGTGTTTTCTTACCAGCTATTACAAAAAAAATTGAGAAAACAAAAAATAAATCCTGGTCTTACCTGTTCTTTTTTAGTTTGGCTTCAGCCGATGGCATATTTTCTAAGCAACTGGGGCAATAATGAGAGTCCACCTAGAAAGAAATAAGAAATCAAAAATCAGAGGAAAGGAAATTCAGTTTAGCTTGTGTGTATGTCTCTGCCAAACAGTACAATGTGAAGTACATTATCATACTGAAGCAGAAGGTGAGAAACCACTCACCTGGCAGAGAACCTAAATTGTTTTCAGCTCAGGTTTTATTCCTCAATCACCTTTGTTTTTTCAAACCATCCACATTTTGTAAACCTTCTATTTTTTCTTTATGATCTTTCCTGTGCCCTTTCATCAGGATTTTATGAATTAGATGTGTTAAAAATTACCTATGTAAAAGAAGAACTCTATAATACCCTAAATAATAGATTAATAAATAAAATAACCTAATTTGTAAAAATGTGATCAATTATTCTTCTACCTGGTTTAGCTTTATTGGATTGTAGTAATTTGACCACACTTAAATTGTGAGATACTTTAAAGGTTTTCTCATTACTGAAGCAATACATGTTCACTGAAGAGCAGTATAAATTATCATTTACAAAGTCAGCTACAGCCAATCAATTAGATATTTAAACGACAAATTAAACTATTAAGCTAAACTATTGTATTTAACTCAAAAACACAGTATAAAAAAATTCATTGTACTTTTTAAGGTCTGAATAATTATTTTCTTAAATGTAGGCAGATTCTATTTGACAATTCTAGAACTGTAGTCACCTGCAGATGGAAAGACAGATTCACTTGAACATAAATACTATAGAAACTGGCTTCTCTTTTCATCATCTGCTATAAGCAGAACCATCTTTGAAAAGATGAATACAATTGCTGCTCAAAGAACCTCCCAGAACATAAGCTATAGTATTGCTAACAGATATTTGCCGTGACTCATCATAAAAGGCAAACTGTAAGTCATTCCTTTGCGTCCCCTTTCCAAAGAACACTTGGCCCTTCATGTGCAGCTCCAATCCAGGTTCTCCATTAGAACCTTCTGGACTGCTCACGGGTATTAGCCTTCCCAAGCCCTAATGGCCTCTATCTCCCAGGTACACACCCGTCTGTAAAAGATGCAGTTACAGATTGAGTGTCATAGCTGAAGACATTCTTGGAGATCATGAAGACTGAGTTCCCTAGGAACCACCAAAGGAGAATCTAACCCAGCCGTGGGCAAACTACGGCCCGCGGGCCGGATCCGGCCCGTTTGAAATGAATAAAACTAAAAAAAAAAAAAAGACCGTACCCTTTTATGTAATGATGTTTACTTTGAATTTGTATTAGTTCACACAAACACTCCATCCATGCTTTTGTTCCAGCCCTCCGGTCCAGTTTAAGAACCCATTGTGGCCCTCGAGTCAAAAAGTTTGCCCACCCCTGCTCAACAAATTGTAAGGGTGGAGCTGGAGCAGGGAAGCATCTAATGAGAAAGGAACTGCTAAGGAGATACACACAGGTACAGGCGTGCGTGTACATACACACACACACGTGTTAATGAAGAAATCCATAAAAAAATCAATGCCATGTTAAATACATGAAAAACCAATACCATATTATACATAAATGGCATTTATTTCTCTTGTATTATTTAAATACTTCCCCTGACCTTTTAAAATATATTTTTATTGATTTCAGAGAGGAAGAGAGAGGGAGAGAGAGATATAAACATCAGTGATGAGAGAGAATAATTGATCGGATGACTCCTGAATGCCCCACAGTAGGGATCGAACCCACAACCCGGGCATGTGCCCTGATCGGGAATCCAACTGGGAGTCAAACAGTGACCTCTGGGTTTGACACTTAACCATTGAGCAACACCAGCCGGGCCTGACCATTCTTAATATTGTGAAAAATATCCCCCCTCAAAATAATTAATAATATGTAAAGTGTTATAGTATAGGATATGTTTTTCATATGTGTTTCTTAATAGTCCAGGGATCTTCACTGAAGTTCTAAGTCTGGATACTCGTTTTCAAATCTTGGTCCTCCCAGTGTGACTTAGGGCTAACATTATGTGTCTATTTCTTTACCTGTAAAAATGATTTTTTTAAAAAGGTATCCATTCCACTGGGTTGTAGAAAGATAAAGGAGATTAAGTAAAGCATCTGGCATAGAGTACTGGATAAAGTGTATCTATTATTACTATTAGCGTTTCCTTCAGGAGACTGTGAGTTACTCCACGGCAGGATTTATGTCTTCTCGTCTTTGAATCCGCAAAGCTTCCTGAATAAAGGAGATGTGCCCAGCGCTGCAGGACTGGGTGATTTTTCACGGGGTGGGGTCTTCTACCTTCTAACAATCCCACCCCAGAGCCCATTTGCTGTGAAAGACGATAGCACCCTCCTCCCGGGGGAAGCGCTGTTAATATAACACTTCCAGCTTCCTACACGGCCTGCCCGACTCGCAACGCTTTCGCTCAGCTCGCCCCATCCCTGCGGCAGGCAGGCCTCGGCCGGAGCCAGGACACAGAGGGGCCAGTTTCCGGCCAACGTGGAGGCAGAACTTCCAGGATGGGAGGGGCATGAATACAATGCCTGTGTTCACTCCACGCAAATCAAGCATGGAAAGTCAGTGTCTAACGCCGCAAGTGGCGCGAACTAAGCACGCCCACACCTTTTTCTCCCGGACCCACCCTGTCACCAAACCCCCAGGAGACAGCCAGGCTTCCCGAAGTCAAGTTCGTCCAATCAGAGGGTGCCCGGCCACCAGCCGAGCCGCTCAGCTCCACCCAAGGCCGCCCCTTCTTTCCAAGTGACAACTTATGAGCAAATTAAAGCTCGGGCAAATCTGAGTGACGGAAAACAGGCCAATCAGCAAGGTAGGAAAATGGTATCCGCCTCCAACCGGTGGGACTTGCCCGTCCGCCGCGGTGACTAATAAGAATGCCTCTCCCCC